AAAAAGAAAAAAAAATAAGACGCAAAGAAAAATGGTTTATCTCTTTTGCGCAAAAAAACATTCAAAAATTTTTTACGCATGCGTTAGTGAAAATCCAAAATTGAAAACAGTTGAGAAGATAATGAACAACTGTAGTCGATTTCGCCTAGTTTCATACATAGTCACTGAAAAAAAAATCATAAATGCCATTTCGCATCCTATTTTAGCTTGCACTTTGGATGTTTTAGGAATATTTTATCTTTGGTACGTCACTTTTAGCACTTTAGAAGAAATTGGGGGAGCTACGACTGTTGAAAATTTTAGGAAAAAACTTTGAACAGCCATCTGTTGAAACGATTTACCTTACTAAAATTTGTTATTGAGTAGATCTAAACAATTCACCTTTTCATCAACTTTGTATAAGATAGAGGGTCAATATGCTAGCTCCACAAGGATATTCTTAGGAAGTGCCCGCACTCATGGTTTGCTACCGCAAAATTTAAGCCACACTAATCAAAACAGAATAGAATTCCAATAATCAGATCAAAGCTTCAGCTCAAAGTGCTTATACTGTTCTTGGCATGATTCCAATACAAATAAGTATTGAAATTAGTAGAGGGGAGCTGCATAGTGCTTTACTAGTCCCGTATCCACATCACATTGCGGCCCATTGAGCATGCTCACATCACTGCAAACATCCGTGGCTATTTGTGTAGGCGACTAAGAAGGGAAAGCTGCGGTAAACTTCAAAAAAATAAATAAAAAGTGAAAATGATTAGAGAGGCATACGTTCCTCTTCAGGCTTTAAGAAATGAGTGCAGATAATCAACGCGACAATTGCAATGACACAGTACATTTAGCTGTTCTTCACCTACAATGTACTCTCGAAGACTCGAATGAACATGATGAAATTTACAGATTTCGGGTGTGTTATAACTATTTGAGAAAGTTTAGTAGGTGCTATAGTAATTAGCTCGAAACTCTCAGTTAACAATCATCGTCTGCTCCCAGTTAACGGTAGGTT